GCACGTATGCATACAATGTGACTGATTGTGGCTCTTGTAGCATGTAAAAGGTGATACATCTTTCAACTAGATGTTAAATCTGCATTTTTGCATGAAGAGTTGGATGAAGATGTTACATGGAACAACCAAAGGGATATGAAAAAATGGGGAAGAGCAAAAGGTTTACAAGTTACAAAAAGTCTTGTATGGTTTAAGACAAGCACTAAAAGCTTGATATAGTCTTATAAAAGCACATTTCAAACAAGATGGCTTTTAAACAAATCTTATTTATCAAAAAGGGTATTGAAGAAAATAACATATTAATTGTTAGCATTTATGTTGACTATCTAATTTATATTGGCAACAATGTAGGTATGATGATTAATTTCAAGAAGTATATGATGCATACCTTTGATATGATTGATTTAATTTGGCATTAAGGTCTTACAAAAATTAGGAGGAATATTTTTGTGTCAACAAAAATATGCCAATGATGTTCTAAAAAGTTTTGTAATGTTTGAGAGCAAACCTATGAAGAGTACAATTGTCCTGGTAATAGAGTTAAAAAAGATGTTGATGGTGTAATTGTGGATAACATTTACTTCAAACATTTTGTAGAAAGTTTAATGTATACGAGGACTACACTATCACATGTCATGTTTAGGTTGAATTTAATTTGCAAATACATGTTCAAACCAACTGAGTTACATCTGCATGCGGCTAAAAGAATCTTGAAATGTCTAAAGAGAATTATCAATTATAGAATATTTTACAGGAAATGAGAGAAAGAAAAATTATTTGTATTTATAGATTTTGATTATGCCGGAGAAGAAGATGACTCTAAGAGTACATCTAATTACGTGTTCTTATTCAGTTCAGGAATAGTGTTATGATCGTCTAAGAAACAACCAATTGTTACTCTTTCGAATACAGAGGAGGCAGGAACAACTAATTATGTAGGAAGAAGTTTCTCATTTATAATACTAGTTCAATTATTAAACTTTTAAAAAATCTAATTAAACTTAAAAAAAATCCAATTATGCATGAAAGAAGTAAGAATACTAGATTATGGTTTTATTTTTTAAAGGATCTTGTGAAAGAGAGAAATTGAGTTGATACACGGGGAAACTTAGGAACAGGTTACAGATTTAATGACCAAAACCTTAAAATTGGAGACTTTCCAGAAGTTCAGACTGAGAATATTTGATCTTGCTCAAATAAACTAAATGCATACTGTAATTAGTTTAACGGAGGAGATGAAATGATTTTGTATTGCTTTAAAGTTGTTTTATTTCTATTTAATAAATACTGGTCTATTATAGGAATAGGTTGCACACATTATAACAGCTATATAATAACCGATTTTGGCAAAATAAGATATATTAATTTTTCATTGGTATATTCGTATACTCTCGTAATGATTATTATTTATAATTAATAATTAAAAAATATATATATATATATATATATATATATATATATATATATAAAGAAAATTGAGGTGCAGTTAAAAACAAAAGGTTAAAACGTTTCTTACAAAAATAAAAACTTCATACGGAAGTATAATTTTTTCTTTTTAAAATACGACTCACTTATTTATGAATTAAAAAAAAACACACTCATGTTAAGACTTTTGATTACATTAAAACTTAAATCATGTTTTATATGTCAATAATATCAATACTAAAAAAATTTTAGACAAAGTTTTTAAGTTAATAGAGATTTTTTTATAAACTTTTGGTTTGATTATTTCTTTACTCTACTATTTATTTAGTTTTAATTTGTTTCATTATTAATAAATGACTCAATTTAGTAATTTAATTTTGAATCCATCTAAGTCTCTTTCCCCTCATTTAAATTAACACTCTTAATATATTTACAAGCAATGAGTAGCTGTTTTAAATCATCACTATTTTAATTTTATTAATAAGTCTAAAATAATAAAAATAAAATAAAAATATAGTGGATGTTTTAACCATCACTATCATATTTTTTAATGTTAAATTTTTTTGATAAAATTTAATAATTTAATCATTTTTTAAACTATAAATATTATAATTTTAATTTATTTATTTCAAATTTTGTTATATAAAACAAAATAATATATCACTTTTTAACTTAATTATATATAATATTTATAAAGCAATTTACGTTAGAAATTAATATATTATAAATATTAATATTATATAAATAAAATTTAATAATAGTTTGTACTAATATATATTATGAATAATTTTTATTTATATTAATTTTATAATATTTTTTATTATTATATTATTTTTAAAAAAATATTAATGGTTTGTAACTGTTACCTGACAGTGAAGTGACAATAAACCGTGGCTAATCATAAAGACTAAGAAGTCAATCTGAATGAAAAAATTCAAATCAAATTGATTCCAAATTAAAAAGATCAAATTGAATTATTGATTAATAGTATGAAGTTGAACAAAATAAAAAATTAAACCTAATTTGTTTATAATATACAGCAAGTTAAAAATGTAGGTAACTTTTTATCTATAAACAATATAAGTAACTTTCAATACTTAAAAGAGTAAGTTTTATATGTTTTTATCTTCAATATATTAAATGAAAATTTATTAAATATTTATGTTTTTCTTCTAAACTAATATTTTTAAAAATATATTAACGAGACATTTAGAAATTTAAAGAAAAATATAATGCACTAGTAAAAACATTTATATATTTGAAAATTTGTATTGGTGATAAATTTAATAATGAACGTTAAATTTTGTTTATAAAAAAGACAATCTCTGTACTGCAACTCAAATTTCAAACTTGAAAAAATAATTAAAATAGATTATAATTTATTAGGATACCAAGTAATTTTTATGGAGCATGCCATTTAATGCTCTCATAAAAAGTTTCATGTTTAACAACGAGTAAACTTTTCAATTTATTTGTTATGATGATAATATCATGTTCTGATCTTTTGCTCGTAATATATTAATAATACGATATGAAGGGTGGCTAAAAATACTACAAAAATAGATTTATTAAAAATACCTTCACAAAGTTAATCTTACAGTGGCAAATAATTCAAAAGAATTAATCATTGAATTAAAAAGAAAAAAAAAACTCCATCTTTATTTGATTTATTCTTCAAAATTCCAAACACAACCAAGCAAAAGCAATCAATCAACATTCCATGGATGTTTACAACTCAAATGCAGATCACGTGCCACTAAAATGCACACAAGAGGATGGCTCCTCATCATAATTGAAGTATTAAAATTAATCATTATTTTTAAATAAATATATTATTTTTATTTAGAAACATTATAATATTTATAGAATTTTCAAAACACGTGGTAGGTAATGCATTCTGAGTGATACGTAATCTCGTAATCCATTACAGTTAAAAGTTGAGCAATAATTTGTTGACTTTTCTCTCCAAAACGTAAAACCAACCTCCCACCTTAAACAATCGATTAAGAATAGACCTCAACTTACTATTTAAAAAAAAAAATCGTGTTCTTTAAGTTTTCATCGTTTACTAACGTCTCTAAAGTATAATTTAAGGAACTAATGCTAAATTTTAAAAATTACAATAAAAGTGCATTAAAATTTTTGGTGAACTAAATGATAATGTTTTAAATAATAAAAAGGAAATTACAGTTTTAGATACTGTTCGTCGGTCGAATGTTACGTATCTTAGATTTGTTTGGTGAGAAATAAGAGACCAAGTCAACAAAAGCACTTGATAAAAAGGTTGAGGAAAAAAGAAAGAAAGAATGGGAGTGGTCGTGGCCTTTTGTTGAACTTTGAAGGAACAATAATAAGAAAATGGCCGACAGTGCCATTAATCATACTGCGTTTTAGAAGGGACACACGCTTGCCAGTGGTAGATTTGTTTCTATTTGAAAGGTATATCAGCGGATCACAACGAATGGAATCCAAATTAGTTTCAAACCCAGTTCCACAATTTTCAAATTCATTCAATAACTTATTTTCACAAACATGTAATATTTAAAATAATAAATTTTTTTTAAGAAAGAAAAAAGCATAACGTGAGCGGCAGGATTCGAACCTGCGCAAGCAGAGCCCATATGATTTCTAGTCATACCCGATAACCACTCCGGCACGCTCACTTCATGAAAATTATATGATTATAAATATATTAATATAATAGATTAGAGACACCTTAAAAGATCTAACCTGTGAAAAAAATAACTTTCAAAAGTTTATTTATCTGGTAAATTATTGGATGATGTCATACCTCATTTTAAAATATCACTTGACCAAAAAAATACAACGGAAACAAAAGAAGAAACTAAAACAGTAAATTAAAATACAAAGATCTTTGTCTTATAATAAGAAGATCAAGATAAGAACAATGGCTCCGAGCAGCAACGGTGCTCAACAAATTAGTCTTGTAATAAATAATGTCTTAAAAACTATGATATTCAAAAATAAGTAAACAAATATAACTATTTACTGATTACAGGAAATCTTCTTGAAACATGTTCTAACATAGAACTCATCTTGACCCACTTAATTTTCTTCTCATAAACCTTATAGGGGTTAGGCAGTGCATAATGAGAAAAGAAGATGACGTCGATTATTTACTGTTTGATACCATCATTGTTCAGTTTCATCTTTCATCCTATAACACACAAAATGAGGAATCACCTAATCAAAGATGATACTCCCTAGTGTGGTATACTTGTAGCAATCTGTGTGACATTAAAAATGAGGAATGATAGTTTAATTTTAGTTTGTTGAATTAAAAATAAATCAATTATTCAGGTACTCTTTAAAATCTCTGACAACAACCAACATAAAAATTGCATTGAACATTGCATTGTATCAAATTTAAAACATCACTCGTACCAACTATCACAAAAATACAACTCGCAAATAACCTTTCATTATATAAAGAAAATCAATTAGATTAACACATAAAAGCCTATTGAATAAAAATAGCACAGCTCGTCCAGTCAAAGCCTCAGAAGGAGCAATTGCCACTACTCAAGAAGCCCATCATACCGATTGTGAATTTTTCAGATTAAAAGCTTCTCAATAGCATCCTGCAACCAAAAAAATACTCAGAAACTACATTCAATAAATTATATATATTTGTGTGTGGAAATTCATAATAGAGTTCATATTTGACAGATACAGGAAAAATAAAGTGTATATGCATACCTTTAGTTGCTGGATTTGAGATTTCAATTCACTTCCTTCATTGGTTGTCACAGAACAAGCAATCACAGGCCTGGTGACCCCACAGGCACGCCCAAGTGCTTGTTTTGATGGGACAAACACGTAGGGCACATTCTAAAATTTTGAAATGAATAATTCATATCGTTAATAAGGTATACACCGATGATGAACAAAAGTCAGAGTAACATCCAATTATAACAAATCAGCGGGAATGATTAAGGCCAAAAGCCTAGAATTTTTCAATCAACAAAAATGACAATAATGATTTACAAAGCTATCTAAGTTTTACCCTCGGCAGAGAATTCATGGTGATGGATATGGCTTATGCTAACACAAAATAAAGTTCAAAATATGCTTTAGTAGTAAATGAAACATCTCAAAACAAGGTTGTCACTCAATTAAAGATGCACTTGTAAATAATAATAAATAGCCTGCTACACATAAGCAAAATAAGATACCTTATCCTCAGCAAGTAGAGGAAGATGGAGAAGAATCTCAAGGGGCTCAGCATCAGCGGCCATGACAACAAACTCAGAGATACCTCTGTTCAGGGTCTTAGTGGCTGCAAATGCAATACAACAAGTACATTATTAGCTTATAATACACATTGAGAAGTAATAAAAGGGAGGAAGTTAGCATTAGGCAAATAGAATCAGCTAGTTACCTTCATTAGCACCCTTTTTTAGCTGCTTGTAGTTGGCAGCTTGTTGAACAAGATCTAGTATGGTTATTGCAAGCTGGGCATCAGCTAAAGGATAAGCTTTGGGATTCACTGTTTCTTCTGTCTACACACACACACAAAGAAAATTCAGAAATGGATTCAACATTCAAACTGTGAGTAGATGCAGAGAAAGAAAAAGATGATACCATTGTTGAATGGACGGAGGCAGAAGAGGGCTAGGGTTTTTGCTTCCAAGTAATTACACAACTGAACGGTTAGTAGGAACATGAAACATTGGGCTTTTATGTCGATTGATGTGGACGCCGCCTGATGCTCCTTATTGGATCTTCCTTGAGTACAAGGCCCGTTAACATATTGAACTTTATATATTTTTCCAATATTTGCTTAGATAATTTTCATCTTTTTCCTTGATTAACATTTATTTATTATACATTATTCATATTTCATAAAAAAAATGCAATAAAATTGGTGTCTCTCTCTTCTAACACTTTACCTACTTTATCTTACATTTATCTTTCTTATCTTCATTATTTATATCTATAAGTTATTGATGATTTTTTGTATGTATTTAAAATAACTCACTTAAAATAATAATCACAATTAGTATAGTATTTTTTTAATATTTTACATTATTTTTAATGTGTTGATTGTTCATTTATTTTATTTAATGTATTTTATATTTATTAGGAGCGATCTTAATTTCGTAATTATATTTTTTTCCATACTAATATAAGATAAAATAATATTTTGAATTAAAAAAAATTATGGTTTAGAAGTCATAAGCTTACCTGTGAATTTTTTTTTGTTTCTTTAGATACTAATTTTGTCTATGTAGATTCCTCGTGTAAATAGGTATGTGTATGAAGATGTCCGCTATTTGTACCTGAACATAAAGATTCTTTGAAGTTTCTTTGTTTCTGAATTTTTTTTGGGTTTTTTTCTGCAGCTTAGGTGGAGGGGAAAAAAAAATCTCTTCTAAAGGAGTCAGAATCATAAGTGAAACACAATTTTGAAAGAGTTAAAATTCTAACCTTATGTCAGTATCTAAATTCTGGAATAATCTCACGTAACAAGTTCTATGAGACTTATGCATTCCTTGAGAAAAAGAAAAAAAAAAAAGTGATTAGATATAATCGACTATGATTTAATATTAATATATTATCTAATGTACTTGAATTTTTTTTCTTATCAGTTAACTAATATATTCTGAATATATTAGATAATTGACTATGATTTAATTTCTACATTTAATTGAACAGTTATATTTTGTAATAATTGAATAAAAAAATTTCTCTATTTTTATAATTATCTCCTATAACTTTATTCTTTGTTTTTCTTTTCTATATGGTATAAAAAAATACAACTTATTGTAAGAGTTTTTTTTTTCACGGTCCATAACACATTTATGTTTATTTTTGTTTTCGTTCTTATAAATATTGGATTAGACATAACCATGATTTCAAGTTTTTATTATTGCCTTCGATAGTCTTCTCTTTTTCTCGCTTTTGTCATTTTCTCATTTCCTACTCCTGAATTCAATATTTAATTCTAATATTGAATTCCTACTTCAAGATTCATGGACGTTGCTGTTTACATCGTCACTGAATCACAAAAGAAAATGCTTGCAATGTTTGTCGTTGGCAGTGACTTTAAGTCACAATTCAAGGAAGCTGACCAAGATGATAAGTTGTTTAGTGAGTTCCAAGATCTCCATTGCAACAAGCTTCCAAGTTTCTCCATGACCAAGGGCTTCTGCAGGAAGTGATGATGGTGCGTTTTAGTCGATCTTCGAAGTAATGAAAACTGTTACCAAAAGCGTTATCTTTGAAATACATCAATAATTACAAAATATATACACAAAAAATTTATATACGCATAACCAATATTCAAATTTATGATCATATTTGAAATATCATATCCATTTGAATACAATGATTTGGGGAGTAGTAATCAGACAGTATGGAGTTTTATCCCAATCAACAACTTTTGTCAATTATCGTTAAGCATTATTTTTTAAGCTTCTTTCATGAATGGTCGAGCATTGAGATATGTGTCTTGCTTCTATCTAATCTAGTTATTATCATGTTCAATTTATGCTCTTTATAGATAAGCATTTTTCTTTACTTCTATTATATAATTATTCTTTTTTATTGGTTGAGCTTTATGTTATCAATTTGGTTTTTATAATTTATGTCGTGTATATGGTTTGAGCTTTGATAGTTCTACCTTAAAACTTAAATAGATGTTATCTTCTTTGATTAAGTTGGAAAAACAATCACTGTTTCTTTTGTCTTTAACTTTTCTTCATCTTTGTATATCCATGCTTCAAATATTTAATTTTCATCTTTTAATTTGAGGGATGATAACAATTGCATATTTTTGTATTAGTTAACTAGTTTTTTTTTTTCTTTTTTATTTTGTAGTCTTTTATATAAGGTTCATCTCATTGAATTTAGGAAAACAAATAAGAATAATTTCCTATTCATGTAATTAACTTCTATAGCTTTTAGTTTTTCTCTTTTATGATCATATATTTGAAAAAAAAATCATAATTTAACTATGTTTAATATTTTGAGTTTAAAAGTATTATAAACATTTGACTAATAGAAATATGTAAATAGAAAATAAGAAAAAACTTGAAAGTGAATCAAATTCTTATTTTTAAAACTTAAAAACATAAGTTTTTGGGAAAATTTTAAAAAATTACTTTCTTTAGTTTTTTGTCCATTTTTAAAACAAAAAAATTTTAAAGAGGAAGGAACAAAATCACATTAAAATTTTTTTTTACTGTTATGAAAAAAAATCAATTTAAAAAAAAAACTATTTCGGTAATTGTTTTTTTTTTCTAAAATTGATAAAGTATTTTTATGTTTTCAGTTCTCAATAATGCTATTTACACTTACCAATAATTGTATTACATTGTTCATTTTTATCCATTTTTCAATCTTAGTTGTAATTTTGTATCATTGTCAATATTATCATCTCTGATACAAATTTTAAGTTAGAGTTAGCAACTGATTTTTTTAATTTATTTTACGAACCAGATTTTCAAAATTCATCTCTAAAATAGGTTTTTAAATCTAAAAGAAAAAAAACTTGTGTTAATTTTAAAAATTATTAAAACTTGTAGAGATTAATTTTTAAAAAATATTTTTGAAAATATATTGTTCTTTCTTTTCATAATTTTAATTTAAAAACTGTCTTAGATAAAAGAAGATGACATTGATGAAATGGAAAGCTACCATAAAAATTATTTTTTTAATATGATAAACACTAGTAGAAATTTATTTATTTCTTGCCATTTTTATTTCAACAACCTATTCACAAAAAATATTTATAATTTTTTAATAAAAATTATTCACAGAAAATAACTGTCCTGTGAAAATATATTTATAAAAAATAGTTAGAATTTTCTTGACCATCAATTATTTATAAAAAATTTCTACAAAATGATAAATATATAAAAAAGTTGCAAATAAAAATTTACAAGAAAATTAGTACAAATTTTAATTTTTTTTATTGCAAATATTCTATTTACATGAAGTATTTAATAATATTTAAATAAATGATAAAAAAATTAAAAATGATTTTAATAATTTTTTAAAAATTATATTTTTCAGGGAAATAAAATAAATTATTTAAAATGATTAAAAAAAATTATTTAGTTTATTTAAATGCCTTCATGCAGGATTGAAGAGCTATAAAGACTCCTTTAATTAATAAATTAAGAGTTCACACTTAATGCTTTAACCCCTGGTCCCACCATGATTTCGTGACTCTAATTCCGTCCTCGGCAGGAATCGAGCACGCTACCTAGCTTTGATACCAAGAGTTTGGCACCAAGCGCTAACCACTTAGCTAAAAGCTTAAGCTATTAATAAGGGTTCACAGTTAATGACATGATTTCAAATTATGATTTCAATCCTTGAAAGACAATCTGGCATGATAAAAATAATGTATAAAGATATTAGATTATACAATCTGACCAAAGAAATGAGATCGAGGTGTCTTATGTGTAAATTGCAGGTGGGAATCTGATGTGGTATTAGATTTGGATAAGACGTATATTTCTATGGGAAGAAAAGTTGACATTACAATCAGAAGACTCTGTCATTGAGGTAACTTCGAACAATTGAGGTTTGAAGAGATAAATCTGGTCCATAGGTGCTATATTGAAAATGTGGATAAAGTTCATCAAAAAATACATATACATATATATATATATATATATATATATATATATATATATAATGCAATTTCATTAGTTAAGAACAAATTGGATGTATAATCACGAAAATATTTTGATTTAGGTCTTATTTCTTTCATACACAGTTTCGGATGGTGGTCTGAATAGCTGATAAATAATGAATTAATGGGTGATATTGTAAACAAAGAGTTGTGATGGTTACACGAGTAAAGTTGTAATTGGAAGTAAATTGTTAATATTCTTTTTTTATTGCAGTTGAAAGATATTCTTAATATATAATTAGCATTTAAATTTAGAAACCCATACGGAAGCATACACCCGAGTTAAACTTCATTCAAAGAAAAAAAAAAGTCACAGGATTCTTTCCGGCAAACTAATATCACCAGAGTTGAGCTTATTTTAAATAAAGGGGTCATTGGTTTCTCTACAGCAAACCAACATCAGTTGCAGCAGCAAACGAACCAACACTATTTTTGGTGGCGAGCAATGAATGATGAGTAAACCAACACCATTTGCAGCGACGAACCGTAAGCGACAAATAATGAGTGGCAAGCAGCAAACCAGAAAACATGTAGAAATACCTACAATCTCAAAATATTTTCAAAATTTTTGGGATCAAATTTCCTTATCTCATTCCCTTCTCTATAATGAGAAATTCTTGAAGATGCTCTCCTATAACAAATTTACTGAAAACCTACATTGTTTTACCGTATCTAACATCCATTTTCGTTGTATTTGCAAATAATTTTAAAAGAAGAGGGAGTGAGAGACTCTTGACAATGCAGTTGAAGTGAATTTTTCACTACCTTTATAAAGACCACCAATAACAATAACAAGTATCATTAGAGCTCCAGTTAATAATAATAATAATAATAAGAATAAGAAGAAGAAGAAGAGGAGAAGAAGGAGGAAAATTAATATTAAGAGCACATAATAATGTTATTTTATTATTACATTCTAGGATTGTTGACAAAATTATTTATCTTTTCAGATTATAAATGTGATATAGTTTTCTTTATGTGTCATAAAATATATTTTTTGATTTTTTATTATGATACTTAAAAACTAGATATCAGATTCTAAAAAAGCAATGCAATCCACTAAAAGGATGAAAGGGAAAAAAAAAACACAAATTCATATACCATTTACAATACCATTAACCAACCTTAAAAGCTTATTCTAAACAAATAAATCGGCCTCTATCTTCATTTTGATCACCATTTCGACCTTTATTTCCACATCTATCTCGACCTTCACTTCCACCTACACTATTATCTCAATCTCCACCTTCATCTTCATTTTCACCTTGAGATCTATCTCAACCTCCACCTCCACCTCCTCCTTCATCTCAACCTCCACCTTGTTCATCTTGACCTTCACCTTTACATTTATTTCAACCTTCACCTCCTCCTTTATCTTAACATTCACCTTGTCCACCTCTATTTCGACATTCACCTTTACATCTATCTTAACCTCCACCTCTACCTCCTCCTTCATCTCAACCTCCACATCCACCTATATATCAACCTTCTCCTCCACCTCCACATCCACATAGGCCCTTCCAATATCAACTCATCCCTACTTAATAAGTATTTCAAATGCATGATTTTCAAGTGGCAAATGAAGCTTCATCTTCTTCGTCTAGCCATATTAGTGGAGACAATAACATGAAAAAAAATCTTAATACTTCTAGAAGGCGATGGGTGAGTACTTTTTTTAGTGAATTATTTTAACTTTCTTAACATATAATATGATTTTTATTGTCTTATGTAGGTTTGATCAACACAAGTTGGTAGTTGGAGCAATTGCTTCAATCATTCGCTCTAACTTGGAAGAGGTAAAACCATCATGGATGACTTATTCATGGATCAAAGGAGTCTTGGTTTGATATATTCAAAGTAATTAGTTTTAAAAATTTTAATTAAAAGATTTTATTTATTTTTGGAAAATGTCTTTAGTATAATCATTATTTTTTTCAAAAATAATGTAGTCAAAATTTTCTTGGACACCTTAATATAATAACATGGTGCGACGTAACTTTTGAGAGAATAGGTGCATCTAAAATGTCTCAATTAATGCAAGAAGCTAGAAATGATCTAGAGAAAAAACTCAATTGGATGATGGGAGAGGATGTGTGAGGACAACTAAAGACACATTGAGAATCTACAAGTTTCAAAAAGAAGTCTCAAACAAATAAAAGAAATTGGGTAGCTTTGGATGGTGCATCTCTTCATACATGTGGATCAATACCTCATTTTTTATATTGGAAGAGAATTGTATTATTACTTTACTTGTATTTTATAATTTGCATTTTAGAATTAATAATATTAAACTTTCTTTGTTATCAGAAAGAGGAAAAAAGAATAGATCCATCATTGACTGAGTTATATTTTTGTACACATCGGAGAAAGAAGGATCAAAGTTGGGTTAGTCTTCATGTCAAAATTGCTTTTGTAAGTTTTCAATTTGATAAGCATATTGGTAGTGATAAACACACACTCAAATATGAAAGTAGTTATTCATTTCACTAGTTGGGTGATATATCATATAATTAATAT